AGGCTCCTTCTGAAGCAGCAAAACACGTGGACGAGGCCAAGGCTCTCTCGTGAAGCAGCGAAACACGTGGACGAGGCCAAGGCTCCTTCTGAAGCAGCAAAACACGTGGACGAGGCCAAGGCTCCTTCTGAAGCAGCGAAACACTTGGACGAGGCCAAGGCTCTCTCTGAAGCAGCAAAACACGTGGACGAGGCCAAGACTCTTTTTGAGCCTGCCAACGCTGTGGATGGTGCCAGTGGTCCGCTGACGTTGGCTGGTCTGACCACGGGAGCTGTTGCAGCGTTGGTGTGTAGTAGGGTGACGGAGGATGCTGATACTAAGGTCGAGCCCGTGGGCGGTACTGATGAGGATAGCGTGACTGTGAAAGCCAATCTGAGTGCTGCATCGAAGGTGGCTGCTGTGGCTGATGTCCCAGGGGAGAGGCAGGTCCTTGCGAGCAGTGCAGGTCGAATGATAAAGGGTGAAGTTGTTGTCTCGTCGGCTTCTGCAACTTCCGCCGTTGAGGAGCTTGGTGGTCCAAGTAGGCTTGTTGCGGCCGAAGAGGTTCCGGCTGTGGCGGTTTCAGGGAGTTGTGAAACAGAGAAAGCAGCAGCTACTGATGAAGGTTTTCTAATTGAAATCGAGTGTACATTTGGGGATTCAACTGTCGTCTTTCCTTTCACCTGGAGAATGGGTTCAGGGACTGTTCTTCAGGCACTTCGTGCGGCTTGCTTGCTTGCCTTGGACGTTCCTTTGGATGATGATGTGAACCTGTACGATCGTAACGGGGTTGTGCTGCGCTTCGAGGAGGATACGTGTCAAAGGTTGAAGGGCGTTCTTCAGTCAGGCCGCACGCGAGTCGGTCTTGTGCTGTGGACGGGTCACCCCTGTACCACGGGCCTGCCGCTGCAGTGCTGTGTCACGTGGTGCCTGCAACAGGTTGTTATGGTCTGCGTTGTGGAGCCGGAGAACGCGTTGAGGGATCTGCGACAGGCGATCCTGGAAGAGTACGATGCGGGCTCCAGCACCGCCATTGAACTTCACTTTTTCTTGACGAATAACGAGGAGGCGGCGGCAGAGACGGAGTTGACGGAGAGCGGAGCTTACGCGCAGCTCAAGGCTGCCTCACGTGACGGAGAGCTGGTGAACATTAGCGTGGTAAGCCCCAATCGATCTCCGCCGTGGCGGTCGGTGGGACGAAGGCTCTCCGCTGCCGCCGCCGCCTTTGCGGAGGAGGTCTTGCACGTGCTTGGAGATCGTTTCCATTCGCAGGATGTGCTAAAAATATTTGAAGAGTGTCGTGACAAGGCAGGACCGTTTGACAATGACGCGAATGATTTTCTGACGCTCATCGCCGTGATGCTCTCCGACCCCCGCACCATGACGCTGGAGAGCTTGACGTCGCTCCTCGTAAAGACGGCGTTGTCGTGTGGCGAGGAGGGGGTGATTGACGTCCTGGGGTGCTGCGCGGTGATGGCGCAGCTGCGTGCGGCTCGTCGACCATTTGAGGTGCTCAAGCGTTTCTTTCGGCGACTCTACAACTCAACGCAGATCCCGGAGGGGGCGCAGGGTATCCCGCTTGCGATGGTTACGCGCCAGCTGGCGCAGGCGGGGCTACGTGATGCGAAGGGGTTGCTGCGGCGCGACCGCACAATTCTGGCGGAGCTGCAGGAGAAGGATTACACGGAACTCTGTTTGCGGCTTTACTACACAGATGCCAAGGTGGTGTCTCGCGCGGCCGTGGCTGCGCGTATGTCTGGCATAAGCAAGCTAAGAAGCCGGCGTGCCATGACAAGGAGGGAGCAAGAGTTGCTGCAGAAAGACTACATGCACGAAATTCGACATGCCCTTGACGGAATACGGTCTTCGGATGTGACGAAGTTCCTGCTGACTCAAGAACTGCACCCTGAGCCACGATTTCACTGCTTGCTGAGTCTCGTGGGGTCGCTGTTAGCTAGCCACCCTGTGCAGCACCCCAGCCACTGGCTTGTAGAGCGCTTCCGAGGAAAAATGTCGGATGCCATGGACGCCAAGATACGCACCTTTGAGGATTCCATGGTGACGACGCCGCTGCTCTACCGCCTCTGCTGGGACGTGCTGAAACCAGAGCTGCATCATCTTTCACTTCTTCCCGAGTCTCAGGTGGCAAGTGCCCTCGCCTACTGGGCCTTTTTCGCCGTTCAGTTACTGTGCGCCAACCGTTGCTTGGAATTCCCACCTGTGCCGTTGGTGGATTTGCAGCAGTTCTCGCCGGTGGGGCTACCGATTTCACCGGTGGTCCTTGCAAGGAATGGGGTTGTAGGTGGTGTTGCCCCCGCCGCTGCTGCCGGCGGTGGCGTTGGCGCTGGCCCCGCCGCCGCCTCCCCGCTCTGCCCAAAGAAGCCGAAGCTCAAGTACAAGTACAGTTACCTCTGCCACGACCTGCGCCGGCATCCTGGGCGTCCGCGTCCGCTAAAGTAGGTGCGCTTGGGCGGTGTGTGCGCCTATTTGCTTCTTTCTACGCGCCCGCGCTTGCGCTTCCTCTACCTGCTTCCACACGCACACACACACACACACAAAAACACACGCTTTCACTCTTTTCCTCTCTTACTGTGCGTCTTTTTCTGTATCTTGCACCCTTCGGGTATTTTTGCCCGTTTAGATTAAACATCTCTTCATTTGTTTCGGAGCATCGATGGACTCCACTGCCTGCCGGCGCGAAGTGTGCGGCGATGTAAATTGTGCCTGCCCGCCGTGGGGAGGGTCTGCGGGTGGCGGTGGAGTTCGGCTCGACTTCGCCCCGCAGACGCCACAGTAGGGGGCAGCGAGTAGGACTAAGCGCGATGAGAGAATAAAAAAAAAAAAAAGATGAATGAGAAGCAAAAAAGAAAAAATGCCCCTGCAAATGCAAAACAAAAAGAAAAGAAAACAAAGGCGCAAAACCAAAAAAAAAAAGAAACGGGGAACAATGTAAGTACGGTGGGTTGCGGTTGAGCTTCGTTGCGCGCCATGGGTGTTTCTCCACGGCGTTCTGGCAACACATGTCCATCGTCTCTTCTTGGACTGCGGCTCACTTTTTTTTTTTTTGTTACCTCCCCCCTTCCCTCAAGTTTGTTCACCCCCCTTTTTTTTGCTTTTCGTTTCGCCTCTTGGGGCTGCCGCCTTCCACAGGCCCCACACGTGTGTGCGTGTGCCGCGGCGGCGGATGCGTGCTTTTCCGCTTCCTCCTTTCCACGCTGAGTTGTCCCTGTGCCGCAAGCGAAGCCCCAAGCAGGAGCGGAGGAGTGAACGGGTGAGCCGGCTTTCTAAGGAGGAAGGGGAAAGAAACGAAGCAAGAACAAGTGCAGGAGGAGCAGCGGAGTGGCGATGTTCACAAGACGTCTCCTGTGCCCCCTCACGCGGCGGCTGCCGAGCGGGTTACTGCTGAGCGGGACGTTCAACCCACGTCACCCCGAATTCCTCCTTGAGGGGCGCGCGACAACGCCTGACGGCCGTGCCTTTTCTGGCCGCTTTGACGCCGAGCAAGGATTTCCCCTCGCCGGCAGCGAGCTCGAGGACGACGGGGATCTTTACCGCGGCTGCTTCAACGCGCAGTGGCAGCGTCACGGCGAGGGCGAGGCCTGGCTGGCCGACGGCACGTACTACAAGGGGCGGTTTGCCGAGGACGAGTTGGTGGAGGGTGTCGTGCGGATCCCCAACGGCACGACGGAGACCGTCTTTGAGGGGACGCTGCGGGATGAGGCGTTTGTGCGGGGGAAACTCACACAGCACGACTTTACGTACGAGGGCGAGTTTCGCGACAACAAACCACACGGCCGCGGGAAGCTTCGCTTTGCCACGGGAGCGGAACAGGAGGGCACCTTTTTCGCCGGCAAGTTACATGGAACTGGGTGCAAGATGAAGCTCGACGGCGGCTTTGTGTACGTGGGAGAGTTTCTGGACGGCTGCATCCGCCGCGGCCAGCTCTTCACCCCGACGTACACGTACGACGGCGAGTTTAACGAGCACGGCAGGGCGCATGGAGAGGGCTCGCAGACGTACTTGGCAAATGAACCGCGTCTCATTTTTACGGGCCTATGGGAGAATGGGGCGCTCGTGCGTGGAACCTGCACCGACGAGTACGGGGCTCCTGTGGATTGGAAGGACAATCATGAACTCCAAGCAAGGGTGTTTAGCGAAGACGGCGGCGACGTCGCCGTGGCGATGAACAGCTACAGCAGCGCCAGGCTGAAGGAGGCGGACAGGCTTTACAAGGAGATGAACCAGAGCTACGTGAAGGACGCCGAGAGGGTCCAGCGAGAGACGGGACGGTATCCCTCCAAGATGAGCCTTGGCTATGAAGGAGGCGTTCAGCAGGAGAAGGAGTCACTCGAGCGGGCGTCACGGGAAACCGTGGAGTGCATGCAGAGCGCACGCGACAGCATGGAGGCACGCAATGCCGATGTGAATCGCATGTGTGCGAGGGCCATGAGTGAGGCCACAATACCGCTAAACCAAAACACGGCGAGGATGCAGTACGCGAGGCAGGAGGGTGCACAGAAGCTGGCTGCGGAGCGCGTGGATGAGCAGTTCGAGCGCTTCCTGAAAACCTTCGATCGCGAGACGGACGACAATGCCAGCAGACGGATCATTGACGGCAACTCCCCTTGGAAGTCGTACACTCCGAAAGGCTGAGTGAGGATCCTCCTTTTGCCGATGTTCCAATGGAGCAGCAGAAGAAGAAGCGAGTGAAAGCGTGGTGTCGTGCCTTCGTTGTGTCGTTTACTCCTTTTATTGTTGAAGGCCTGCTTCTGCTTTTACTTCCACCTACAAACATGCATATATACACATATACATATGTGTATATAATGTCTGCTGCCTTGGATCACTCCGTTCTTTTTTTTTTCGTGCCTTTCCCATTCGGACGGCAGCGTCCGTCCAATGGACTGCGGCCTCGAGGGCCACACGGCCACGCTGTGTGGCGAATCGATTGTGGTGGTTGGCGGCAAAACAGCCGCGTTTGGTCTCAGTGGATCCGTGTTCGCGCTCACGCTTCCCGGGCTTGAGTGGCGCCGGCTTCTGTGTGACGGAGCGGATCCGGCGCCGCGGGCGTACCACTCCGCCTGCCTGCACGGCACGCGGCTCGTTGTCTTTGGCGGTATCACAAGTGTGGGGCTGAACGATGTCCACTACAACACTTACAATGTTTTCACGCTAGCCGACGGGCTCGACAGGGCGGCGCTGCAGCGAGTGGGTGCCGAGCGTTTCCGCGATCCCGCATGGCTGCGACCGCTGATGCCGCAAAAGGCCGAGCCGGACGGGGTACTTCACATCCTCGACATGTCGACCTCGCCGCCCTGCTGGGGGTCGGCGCAGTGTACCGGCAGTGTGCCGTGCAACCGCTCGCACCACGCCGCCGCGGTGCAGGGAGATGCCATGTACATCGTTGGAGGCTACAACATTTACTCCCCACGGACGCAGCCGACCGTTGACTTTGGCTGCCTCCACAGCCTCGACCTCACAACGCTGTGCTGGAGAAGCATTGAGCTCAGGATTCCGTTGTATTACTGGGGGGCGACGCTGACCCCGTTGGGCGGCTCGCTGCTCTGCCTCTTTGGCGGCGTTTCACGCGCACGAAACAGGGAATCGCAGGACACATTTATCCTTGACGCTCAAACGGGCTCTGTGCGGCCCACGCTGGAGGGCAACCACACACCGTTGCCACGCGCAGCGCACTGTGCATGGCGCTGGGGTTGCTACGTGTACATTTTCGGTGGCGCCGGATCAGTCGCCACTCGCTACTTTAACGACTTACACCGCCTTTACGTGCAACGCGGTGCCTGGGAGGAGGTCACGACAGACGTGGAAACAAAAACTTTCTTCCCGTCTGCCTCGTCGGCGTCGCCTCCGCCGCTCTCTGGCAGTGCTGCAGCGGTGGTTGGCGAGCATGTGGTTCTTGTGGGGGGAATGCGTGCAAACTTGACGCGCACCTCGACCGTCTTCCTCCTCAGCATGCGCTCACACACGTGGCAGGAGGCAGCGACGACGTTTGCCGAAGCACCGCTGCCGTTTCCGTTTGCCTACGATAAGCCGCACTCTTACCGAGGCGGCGTCAGTAGAGGCGTGCAGACAGCGTGGAGGGGGAACCCGCCACCCCTCCTGTTACGCGACGCGCTGGATCCGGATGTGTTATTGCCCCGTTGGGCGTCCGTGACGCGGCAGTTCCAGCACCAGCCAAAGGAGGATGGGGGAGGTGGGCGACACGCTGAGGAACGCCCGCAGGAGCGCTGGGAACGGGAGTTGGATGAGCTTCACGCCATGACGGCAGGCTGGAGCAGCGTCATCACGGGGCTAAGTACTCACGTGAAGGGCGCTGCATGGACGTCGTGACACTCCCCCGACTCCGCCTCTCCGCCTTGCGGAGGTGGGAGAGGGTAATTTCTGTTGCAGCCGCAATGTCAGTGGCGGTGCCACATCACACAGGCGGAGAGACGTTCAATGAAAGACGACACGGACAGTAAAAGACCGAACGAATGAAGCAATGCCGCCGACCCCATGAATATTTTTTTATCCTTTCTTTGCCTAATATATATATGTCTTTGTGTCTGCCTTGTCTTGTTTCTTTTTTTTTTTCCTAACTTTGCTTATCGTTGTTTTCAAATTCATGCGTGTTCACGCCCGCCGTGCGTGAAGGGGAGCTTGGGAGTGTTGCCTCCCTCTTCCCCTTCCTCTCTTCGCCATGGCCGTCTTTTGCACGAGCGGCGGTGTTTTTGCTGCGGTTGCCTCCTCATCGAGCGCCCATTTTTTTTTGCATTTTACTTGCTTTTTTCCCTATTCCTCCTTTGCCTTTTTTTTGGGTGGGGTGGTGGTGGTGGGGTTTGTTGGGGTTTTTTCGCTTCTTCCGCTTGCCCTTCCCTCCTCCTCACTTGCCGCGAGCGTGCGAGGGGTCGCCTTGCCACGGCGGGACAACGTAGTGGGAAGAACACACTGGCAACGAGGGCGGGGGAAGCATGTGGCGTGTGGCTAGACACCGGTGCCTGCGGCTGCTCGGCCAGCGCGCCGTGGCCAGCCCCGGTGCCACGACGTCGACGCCGGAGCCGGACGCCGCAGCGGCGCACCCCAGCCTCTTCAGCGCCCCCGCAACGTTTCGCACCGTGGGCCGTGATGCAGAGTTGCTCTCACTCTGGCAGAATCTCTTGTCAGGGCGCCACGTTCAGGCCATTACGGGGCCAGACGGTATCGGCAAGTCTTCTATCGCCGCGGAGTTTTGTGACCGGGCGCGGCGGAGTGGGCGCTTCACCTGTATTCAGTGGTTCGATGCCAGGGACTCCCTGCCGTCTGAGGTGGTTCACTTCTTCCACTCTATGCGGGGCCGCAGGGAAAAAGACGTGCTCTTGGTTATTGACGGCGTCGATGACCCGCATGCGGCGCTCCGTCTTATCCCTGAGCACGCGAACGTTTACACGCTTCTCACATGCAGTGCCCCTATCGAATGCCCTACACAGATGAGCGTGCTAAAAGTTCAACCGTTGCCGCCCAACGGTGTGGAACAATTTCCACACGCAATGGAGCTGGAGGATTCGAGAACACTAGGCGAGGTGCTCTCTGCGCTTGGCTACGTGCCACTTCTCATGCATGTTGCATCGTGTCTAATGGAGAGTGGCTCCACCAGCGCGGAGGAAATAAAGCGGGCGCTACTCGCAAAAGGGATAGATGGAGAAGGGACACTGAGCATTTCTTGCGCGCTTGGCGTTCTACTCGAGCTCGCGCTTGTAGTGCTTGAGACACAACGTCCAGGAGGCACCCGTGTGTTAGCGATGACGGCGTTATTTGACATCAGTAGCATTTCCTATACTCTCTTGGACCGCTTACTGGGTGATGACTCGGGGGAGGCCTTCGCCCTGCAGGCCGCTGAGTTGGGCATATGCGATCAGCGCTGGGATGAGGGCTCGCTGACCCTGCACCCTTCCATTGCACAGACACTTCTCAACAAGGCAGATGCTGCATGTGTGGAGGAGTGCACGAGGGCGCTGCTTTGGCTCTGGCCGCGTCGCTGGCGTGGGGCTGGCAGCAGCGTGGCACATGAGTTGATGCGCCACACCCGTGCCATTTGCAAGAGCTGCGATGCCCGTCAGATGCCCCTCAACGATGAGCTTCTTCTCTGCCTTGACCGCAGTGCGACTCTTCTTGCCCTGATTGAGGGCAAGGATTTGCCGACCGCCGCAGAACTTTGGCTTCGCGTGATACGGGCAAACCAGGAGGTGGCGAAGAGGGACGTGGAGGCAGTTAGAATAGGTAGAGAATGTGGCCGTCTGCTGCACTTCCTTCGTGACGAGCGGGCCGGGGACGTGTTGCGGTACGCCTTTGAGTTGGCGTGTGCGGTGCACGGGAAACAGTCGGCCGAGGCCTCCCTCGTTCTTGGCTGCTACGCCCCGTACCTCGCTGCCTCGGGCGAGGCGATGCGGGTGCTACAAGGGGGTGTGGCCGCGCTGGAGCATCGCATGGCATCTGCGGACACGGTGCTCGGACGGGAGGAGGCGCGCATGCTGCAGGAGACCGTCTTTGTCCTGCTCCTACGACAGGGGCAGATGCTGCAGGAGATGGGGGAGACGGTGCCCGCCTCGCTCTGGGCGGCGCTGCAGGAGGTGGAGCGGCGCATCCAAAAGGGTGGGCGGCCGGCGCCGCAGTGAGGCACGCGTCTTGCCCTCTCCCGCGGGGAAGAGGAGGCGGGGGAAAAACGAAGACGAGGACGAAAGCGGACGTGGAGAGATGGAGCGGGGGCGGCGAAAGGGAGGACAAGCAAACAACAACAACAAAAAGGCAAACCATGACTGTGAATGCAGTGAGGCTGTTCACTTTGTTTGTTTCTTTTCGTTTTATGCCTGCGGCTGTGAGCACGCGCGTTGCGTTTGGGGCGCTAGACTCACCTCGCCCCACAGCGAACGGCATCCCCGCCTCCTCTTTCTCTCTCTCTCACTCACTCTCTCTCTGCGTGTGCGTGCGTGAGCCGGTTTCCATCCTGTGAGTTCCTCCCCATTTGCCTGCCGTCGCGCCAAAATGTTGCACACCGGATTGGAGAAACGCCGGGGGTTGTTTCCAAAACAACATCCCCCTCAACAGCATCAAAAAGAAAAAATATAAAGAAAAGTTAAGAAAAATAAAAGCAAAACCCACGCAAAGAAGCAAAAGAGTAGAGGAACCGCTGCAATGAAAGGTGACTTAAGCGTCAAGAAAACAGTGGATGACATCTGGCCGCTCACCGGCAAGCGCGTGCTCGTCCGCGTGGACTTCAATGTCGCCATTCACAACGGGAGTATTACAAATGATTATCGCATTCGCGCCGCCGTTCCCACGATCCGTCGCGTGATCGATCAAGGGGGAATATGCATACTGCTGAGCCACCTCGGCCGCCCCAAGGGCGTCTCATACACCTCTGCGAAGAAGGACATACAAAAACGCTACCATGGGGGAGCGTTGAACAGCAGCAACGGGAAGACCGCATTCTTCGCCTTACTTCCAGGCGAGGAGAAGGCAAAGATTTTGGCGTTATCCACGGCAAAGGACGAGGCCGCCAAACTTTCACTCAGCGAGGGATCCGGTAAAACGGCCATATTTACACGATTGCCAGGCGACGAGAAAAAAGCACTACTAACGCGTTACATTTCTGAAAATAAGGAACACATTTACCAACAGCTCAGTCTCAGTAAAGGATACGAAGAAGAATTCACCCTCAGGCCAATCGCTGTGCGCCTCGCCGAGTTGCTTAACCAACAGGTGTATTTTGCCCATGATTGTATGGACGCCGAGCTGGAGATACGCCGCCTCAGAAGTGGTGAGGTCGTGCTGCTCGAGAACGTGCGCTTCTACACGGAGGAGAGCAGTAAGGAGGAGGAGGAGCGCCACGCCATGGCGCGAGTTCTGGCATCCTACGGCGACGTTTTCGTCAGCGACGCGTTTGGCACTGCCCACCGCGACAGCGCGACAATGACTGGCATCCCCAAGGTGCTCGGCCACGGTGCAGCGGGCTACCTGATGGACAAGGAGATCTCTTACTTTGCGAAGGTGCTGGGTAGCCCGGCACGGCCGTTTGTGGCGATCGTGGGAGGTGCGAAGGTGAGTGACAAGATCCATCTGCTGGACAACATGCTGCAGCGCATTGACTACCTGCTCATCGGTGGCGCGATGGCGTACACGTTCCTGAAGGCGCAGGGCCACAAGA